CCCCCGGCCATTATAAGAGGCCCGGTTCTTAATTGAATACCGGCTTATAATTGAGGAAATACGGTACATCCCACAGTAGGTATGAAAGCACCACCAGAGGGACGAGCCTTCTTTTTTTGATTTTTTTTTGAGGTTTTCTTTGTCTAGTCGGCGTTTCCTACCCCCAGATGTACGTCTCACTGGCTCATCCAGACCATCAAAATTATTAATACTGTTTAAATCACTTATTTTGAAGACCAATTCACAAACTTTTTCTCTCGCTTCAGGGCCCCGCCATGTTGGGTTGCTTAGAACGCTAGCCGAATGCTGATTGGTCGAGCGGACATATCGCATTCCGGCTAAAAATAGATTTGGCACTTGTCGCGGTTTGGAGTGGAACTGCATCTTGCAGTACATTTAAACAAGGAAATATAGCGCTTTGGCATGAAACGTTGATGGACCAGTGAATAGGTTCAGTACACAGAAAAAAGGCATGACAAACTCATTATTTTTAAATTGCCGTTTGTCTCGTTTTGGAAAAGAGCTCTTCATATGTTACTCTGCCACTTTAAGTTTATATCTCCCGTGTTTCCTCAGCGGGGGGCCACTGCACTGGGGGCTGTGAAAGGCCCTTTGCATTTCCTTTTTGAAGCCTCAAAATGCAGGGTTTTCTTATTAATGAAACTCTGTTTTTTGTCCTAGTCCCAGAGAACCCTTTGTCAGAGGATCTTTTTGCCCCACAAATGACCTCTGAGCCTTGTAAGTGGATTTAATATGTTGTCATATAACATAAAATATACATGATGAATTCACATTTTCAGGACAGTTTACCATAATTAAAATTTGCGCTTGAATAAAACACAAAACTTTTGTGCATAGTATAGTAATAATAAAACAAACCATTGAAATATTTTACTACATACAGCACCAACAAGGCAAGACTCCACCATGTCTACACCACCAAGTAACACTTAATGTAGACAATCTGTTTAAATAATTGAAATTGTCATGATGTTATGCAACAATATTTCAATGAATTTTCACTTTTAGGCACTCTAGAAACCCCCGACCTCCATCTTCTACCAAATGATGAAACCCCAGACCTCTATTTTTCCCCAAATCAATCTGAGCAAAATAAATTTACATTATAGAATTTCATCTTTCCTTTATCTTCATTGTTGTGTGTTTATTATAATACAATGCTGAACTTAAAATATTTGGCTCTTTTTTATTTTATAGGCACTCTATTGTCTGTGGATGATGCCTACGGTGAGGAGACGCCCAAGAGTGAGATGTGCTTTGATGCTATCACATTCTGCCCGATGACTTTGTAATACTAATAATGGCTTTTATATTTCTAATCCATATCTCTTTTCATCAGGGTCTAATCAGACTTTCAGGGGTCAATTATTCTCCTCGCCAGTACATACGTCAACTCCAGGTACTGTTTATGTCAAAACATACAAAGGCAGTTTGTATATAACTTATTAGCTTTCATATTGATTTAAATTATTCCATATTCCATAATACTTTATTTAATTACAGCTTCGAGGTCCAAGCACCAGGAAATAACAAGTCCACAAGGTAAGAATGGACATGATTGATAATAATAATAATAATAATAATAATACATTTTATTTGAAACGCACTTTACATTTAAAAATCTCAAAGTGCTACAGGGTTTAAAACCGATAAAAAACAAACAACAAAATTGCTACAGATTAAAAATAGTTGATAATGATAAAAGAACGACAACAAGCAACAAGGTGGATGTATTCTTTCTTACAGCCACTTGGATTCGTATCACGAGCAGAACTGAACAAGGTAAAAATAGACAATTTTGAGATTTGGGATGGGGATTTAATATTGTGATTCTTAATTGTTTAATTGTGATTGATAGGTTTAATATTGGGATTGTTAATGCATTCTTTCTTGCAGCCACTGGGATTCGTAACCTGAACAGAACTCCAAAAGGTAAAAATAGACAATTTTGAGATTTGGGATGTGGATTTAATATTATGATCAGGGGCAGAAATTCCGGGGGGGACAGGGGGGACATGACTCCCCCTTCAGTAAAGCTGTCCCCCCCTAGAATAATTTGAGACACAATTAATAAATTTTGAACAATGCAGTAGTATTTATTGAAAGCACAATGTAAGCGGTGCTATTTAAATCTTAAAGTCCCCCCCTCCCATTCCTAGTAGTGGTATATCCCACACTCTTTCCAACGGGCGGGGCTACTTGGCAGCAGTAGCAGCGTGTGGCTGGACCCGGCTGCCCACATCGCGCATCGCAGGGTAAGATGTACACTCACCCAGACACAGTTTAACTTACACAAATTACAACACATCCCATTTACTGTTACAACAAGCCCCAGGCCCAGGCTGATAATATAAACTGTCTGCAACATTTCTCCTGCATTGTCCAAAAGTCTACTCAATTAAGAGTGCTGCTAAGTTAAGAGCTAATGATTAAGCTCAGAGTTTAGTGATAGTCAGACAGGACAGGAGAGAAAGAAGAGGGAGAGGACAGGACAAGAGTCAGTTGCGGAGCGGCTCGTAGCTAATGGGTACCTGTCTGTAGGCTCTCCACCTGTCAGTGAGACAAACATGAAAGACGTGCAGTCTAACCGACGAGGAGCGGTCATTACGCGCGACTATTACGCACGGTTGTGAGCTGCGCAGCGGCAGATCTCAGGTTAATTGATCTCTTACCAGTTTAATTGCAGGAAATGTTTAGTTTTAGTTTAGTTAATATAGACATTCACTCTGCCAAATTGCGGTAAAAGATGCTGTATAAAAGACAGGCTACAACTTTTTTTCCTT